GCGCCAGATGAGCGCAATCGTACCACAGCTCCGATACCAAATTGCAAGGAAGATGAGCATTAGCGAACTTCAGCAATCATACAGCATCATACATACGAGTCCAGTTAGTCTTGACCTCGAACCACAGCAGAATTGCATCACGAGATACACCAAATAAGAACACACCAAGAGTTCAAAACTGACAATGCTGAAGTAGTCCCATCATCATCAACTACGAACTAGAGTTGATATCCTATTGGCGCTCGGCGCCCAGACTACATGTGGCAGATCCTATCTAGCCTATACTACGAAGCAGAATGATGACATCAACAGCGTTCCCGAAGTACGAGCATATGGCGATCAATGTCGCACGCTTCAGCACCAGGTATGTCTTGCGTTACACTCACAACCCCGATCCATACCGCACAGATGCCACTAGCACCCAAGGACCACCCTGCGCTTCACCCAGCATACAGCAGCGCAGCTTGGCTATGGCTGCGTGCTCCCTCCCTACACGCCCGTGAGAGCGTGAGTGCCAGCCAGCCTGCAGATAGCGCACCAGCGCTTGCGCAGCATGCAGCCAGCACCCGAATGCCGAATGAGAGGCAGGCCCTTCCCTATATCGAAGTGGCCTGCCTGCGTCCAGTCCAGGAAGCTTCCAGTAGGCCCCGGTAGCCTGAGGCCCAGTCACGAGGAAAGCAGGCCTTGGGCCTGAAGTGGTTGCATGCGCCCAACTGCTTTCGGCCTGTGTTCGGCCCGGTCCTGAATCCAGCCCAAGGCCTGTTCTTCGTACATTCACACAGGCGGCCCAGGGCCTGGGTTCATTCAACCAACTGGCGCTGCGCAACTGCATGAATTTTCCCCAATGTGGGGTACCCTGAAAAACGAGGCCTGAAGGGCCTGTCGTGCCTGCCTTCACTTAGGGCGGCCGACCTTGCTGCAATTAGGGCCTCGTAGGGGCTAAGCGGGCGTAGCCTCGCATTACCAAATTTGAAATAAAAATATAATACAGAACTAGGCTACCAAAGTGGCCCGGGGTCACTTGCCCGGCCGGGCCAAAAAATAAATAAATAATACAAATAAAAAGAATTATAATCAATTATTTTTAAATTTTATTTTTTATTCTAAATTTGGTGAAGAATTTCGATGTGGCCCTGAGGCAAAAGCTGTTCAGTTTATTTTTCTGCATAACATAGTTTTTTTTTCGGATTTTTTGGAATTTATTTTTTGTTTCTGTTTTTTGCTGGGACCGTCCTTGGTCCTTGCACGGGCTGGCCACCCGGGACCCGGGCGGCCCGGCTGGTAGCCTAGATACAGAAAATAAAACTAAGAATACAAATAAAAAAAATAAAAAGAGAATTAAAATTAGTGAGTGAGCAAGCATGTTTTCGACACCGCCATCTTTGGCGGTTTTTCTTTTTTTTTTAAGCACAGCCAAATGCCCTGAAAATTTACAGTTGTGTAGTTCACATAATACAAAACACATTAAAAAAGTTTCAAAAACTAATAAAATTGTTTAGGCCCCGCAATAAAGTGAAACGAAAAGCACAAAGTGAAAAAAAAACAAAATAGTAAGTGGGCGAGCACATTTTGACACCGCCATCTTTGGTGATTTTTAATTTTTGTTTGGCTWAGSAAAATGACTTCAAAATTTATAGGCATGTAGCTCACATCATAGAGAACTCACAGAAAAAAAAAAATCAGGAAAAAAAACTTACTTTTAGGCCCCGAAATCATTTTTGGCGGCCCCGAACGGAACCCCAAACGCCCGTACGTACGGAGGTCGGCCCGGGGACCTCCGTACGTACGGGTTGGTGACCCTGATTACATTATTATTGCTCCAAAGTGTGAAGGCGAATGTTCTTCTTTTTTCTTGTCTATTTTGGGTGAGAGTAAAAGGGCCTTTACGATTCAGGCCCATAAATGTGACCCCCGTATGAAAAGGGCCCTCTCGGCCTGATTTCACGAGTAACACTCCAAAAGACAAGTTCCTGAGGCAAATGTCGCATCCATAATAAACTGAAGAGTTGTTTTGAATAGTCACGAACAGGTCCTGAACGAATAGGGTCATGTCTGCTCGATGAAAAGTCATGTCTGTTCGGTAATAAGTCAAAGGCCACAGTCCCAGTCCAATCATAACCCCCGAGTCAGTCCTGATTCAGACCAGGAGTCCAAAAGACAGGCCCGATGGCCCAAAGCAGCAGCAGACCATGGGAAAAGATACTGGGACACACACTTTGCAACAACTGGTACTGGGCAGGAGTCCCAGACACTTGGAGGCCGAGTTCAGATCTCGCCAGTCCAGTCCAACACTATAAAGGACTGGCCAGCCTCTTCATTCGGCAGATGCTCACTTCGCATGAGAGTGTGGAAGTGTCGTGGCACTTGTGCGCTAGATGTGTGTGAGCTGCGCTAGGCTGTGAGTATCGCTAAGTGTGAGAGAGAGAGAAGAAGGGTGCTGGCTGGAAGGAAGGCAGCCATAGCTGCGCCAGTGCTAGTTAGTATATTAGTAGGGATAGTCAGTAGGAGACACCAGTGAGTAGCATTCAGAGTAGATCCTCGTGTGATAGGGAGTGTGCATGCATGGTGAGTGTGAGTAGACCAGGACTAAAGACATAGAGGGAGAGAGTCTGAAAAGAAAGCAGATGAGAGAGGGGGAGGAGAGAGCTATGGAGACAATTACCTGTTGAGCGCTGTTGTTGACGTTTGGTAGCTGGTGCTGAAGAGCGCCAGGCTTGGAACTCATGATTGATTGAAGAGTACTTGTAACTCTGTTCGGCGCTATACATTTTTGGACTCACGATTTCCTCTCCTAATCTGGTTATGATATTTGAGTTGAGCTTCCTGGCTCTCATTCATCTTCTATTGAGCAATGTGTGAGATATCGCAATCTGTGAAATCTGTGTATGTGCATGTGATTTAAAACACTCCAGCAAGCGATGAGCAGTCGGGTTCCTTGCAAGATCAGCCTTCAAACAACAAACTCCCTTCCAACAGCCGGTCTGCCCCAGAGCGTGCAGGGGCCCTGCTAATTTTCCCTGCATCGTTCCAATTTGATCTGGTCCCAAAGGTCCCTCACTTAGAACTTTGGAACCTTGTGGTTTCCCAAATACATCTGCCTGTGGGTGAATAGTACACAGTGATACACACATGTAACTAACTGTTAATAAAGTTAAATAAAGTTTAATAAACAGATAAAGAGCTCAATTCCTGATAGAGGCAGATTGATGCAATAAAGCAGGGGAAATCAGACCCAGCACAAGTGGCTGAACGGTGTACACATGCGCAACTTTTTAATGGACAAATCATGTGTTGAAACTTGAACGAAATTTTCAATCCTGATGGCATCAGATGGGTACACTAACCTTATGAGCTACCCCTCTTTCCAAAAAAGAAGAAGAAGAAGAAGAAGAAGAAAAAAAAGAAGAAGAAGAAGAAGAAGAAGAAGAAGAAGAAGAAGAAGAAGAAGAAAACGTAGGGGCTAGTAGGGCTACCCCTTAATGAAAACGAGGCATGCGACATGGTACTTATGCGTACCTGTTCATTACAAGCTCCCTGGCCTTGTTAGTTATCTCACGGTGATGGATTTTCATCTCCTCACAAATGAGTCCCTCACTCTCAAAAAGCGATTTCAGACTGTCCTCTGTGAAATAGTACGCTCGCTGCTTATTGGACATCAAAAAAACTCAATTAGTTAAAAATAGTTAAAAATCATGGCTGCTTGCTCATTATTATTTGGTCAAATAACTTTTTTTATTTAAATTTAAAAGGCACACACTTTATCTACTAGGTTACCAGAGTGGCCCGGGACCACGTGCCAGGCCGGGCCAAAAAAAAAAAAAAAAAAGTTAAAATACTAAGAATAGAAAGAAAGAAAGAAAAAGAAATTTTATTTATTATTTTACATTAGGTAAAGAATTCAATGTGACGTTGAAGCAAAAGTTGTTCAGTTTATTTTTCTGCATAAGATAGTGGATGGACCAAGTTCTCATCAAGGTTCACCTCGCATACATCAATGAACATTCACACAACAGTTCACATGTGAGAAGCCAAAACTGAGATACAAATGAACACATGTGGAAGCCGCCACCAAAATTATCATTATTATACAATACAAAGAAGTTTTTATGTCTCCAGCGGCTCTGCTGCACACACGCACACACTCAGAACTGCTCTCAACCGGATGACGGCTATGGCTTCTCTCTCTCTCTCTCTCTCTCTCTCTCTCTCTCTCTCTCTCTCTCTCTCTCTCTCTCTCTCTCTCTCTCTCTCTCTCNTCTCTCTCTCTCTCTCTCTCTCTCTCTCTCTCTCTCTCTCTCTCTCTCTCTCTCTCTCTCTCTCTCTCTCTCTCTCTCTCTCTCTCTGTGCACATAGCGTCCAGATACATTCCTCAAAGCACTGCGGCGACTTCCACTTTCGTGAGGGCCTTCCCCGACATCGCTGGAATCAAAATACTCAGTTGTTTTTTTTTCCCCCCCTCACGGTGGGCCCGTAGTGTCCCGATCTTTTCTTTTGTTTTTATTTTCGGCCGAGGCTCCTAGGGACCTCCGAAAACTGTGGTGTGACGTATATTCCCGTTTTTCCCAACACTGAGAAAGGTAGTGGTGGTTTAAAAGAAAGCAAGACTAAATCATTTAGGCCCAAGGGAAGTAGGAGGCCAAATTGATGCCGATGCTTACTGTCCCGTCTCCACGAACGTAGAAGCTTTCACTAATCTTTTGTTCTTTTGCCATGAACCTTTCCTGCGATTTTAACCAAAGAAATGGTATGGAAACACGCACGCACCCACCCACACACACACACACACACACACACATACACACACACACACACACAATAACACATCAGCAAAGAATGGAACACGATAAAAAAAAAAGAAGATGAAGGCCATCTTTGTGGACGTGAGGACATAGATGAGCTTTATGACTACAATTGAATGTGATAAACTGTTGTGATATAAATAAATTCACCTTCGCATGTGTGGGAGGTATTATCACAATCATCGATCACGACATCTGTACCACACCACCAAATTTGTAGGTTTTTTTACGCCAATCCACTCCTAAAACATTACCATACATGATCCACATCACTCCATCCAAAACTGAATTCAATCAAAATCCAAACCACCATTTTTTTTGCGAAAACTCACTCATAAAAACATACCTAACACAATTACCACCGCTCCATCAGAAACTGAATTGATTCACCGACTGCCAAACATATAGACGTAGTAAGAAAATGACAATCTAGCTTGGCCCAGCTTTAAATCCAGGTGCATCGAAAATGACAATATGTTCTATTCGGATTCGGGTGACGACGGTAGGATCCTTACTGACAAGAGCAATAATAAGTGGAGAGAGTTGGGGAGAAAGGAGAAAGGAGGAAAATAATCCCTCTCTTTCCCACACACATTTCACCAAGGAAAGACAGCGAAAGAGAATGATACGTGCCCGCCCCTGGTTCAAAAATTCAAATGCAACTATCTGGCGGTTTGTTACCGTTAAAGTGGGGATGCAGAGGTTTTCAAGCACACACCCTCATATAAATGCATACAAGCCATCTTTCCAGTCAGATAATGGCAGCCAACCAGTGGCTCTCAGAAACGACACAATGTTTAGATGATAGTTAATCCTCCCCTGCGAGGGAGTAATTCAATGTTGTTTTCTGTTTTCTGATTGTGATCAATTGAAAGTTTTGAAACCGATTGTAACTACAGGGATGTTGGACCCGTTTTCCAGCAGGTGCAGCTCCCCACCAATAGGTTGGACCAACCGGAAAGGCTGCTAGGCAGGGCTGCTCCTATGACCCTCCCCCTGGTTCTTTTTTCCTTTTTATTTTACAGTCCGCCAAGCTACACCATGCATTTATCGTAAAAGCTTCATGGGCCGCTGGACCCGGTTTCGAGCAGGTGCAACCCCCACCAATAGATCAGGGTTTGTTCTTCGGGAAGAAAGAAAAAGGGTAGACACTAGAAAGACAGGACGAAAAGAGAGAGAAAGCTCGCTAATAATAGAATCCGGATAATTCAGCATGTTTGACTTCGGAATAGCTTCTTAGCGCGACGTTAACTTGACCTTGTAATTTATGCCTTCACCGATTTCAAGCTCGTAAATTATTTATTTTGTCTCCATCTTAAACCACTGCTAACTTGGAGTCTCTTTTGCCGAGGCAGAAAAGGACCGCACTGCACGCTTTTTTTGACTGGTGCGACCAGCCATTTTGGTCCGGTGGCACCCGACCTCTGAAGAATGTGGTGTATGGTATTGTGGAGTTTCAAGTTTCCCTGTGAAAGGTAGTGGCAGTTTAATAGAGAACTTAGAAAACATGCCAGTGAAATGAACCGGGTTCGAGATCCTCTGATAACGGTCCTCAGTCTAGAAGACTAAGCTTGAGTTCATGCCTCAGTCAAAAACCTTCAGTATCAGTCTCAAGAAAACCCCTACAGAGTCAGGGACTGGGGTTGAACCAGAACCAGCATTGCAAAAAGCCTATGGGCAGTAGTGTTTGGCCAGAGCGACGTTCTAGGGTCAACGCATGGCCTGAGAGTGCACAGTCATTATCGCTGTATCTAGATTCTACACCAACTGTTGGCTCAAATAGAGCTCCACTAACACTGGTCGGGGCGTGTTTAAAAAAAAAAAAAAAAAAAAAAAAAAAAAAAAA